TTCTGTCTGGTTGGCAAGCCCGGTCGGCATCCTGTCGTTAGTTCTCCCGGGCGCGGCGCCGGGAGTGGGGGGATGCTCTTGCGGAGGACTTGGCGCCGCGAGCTCGGGAAAGGGGTGCGAGGTGTCCCCTCGCGGGGGTATGGCAACGCCCCAACAATCGGCGCTCGACACTGTCCGGACCTGCCCACGCGGGCACCTATCGCGTTCATAGGATCCCCGGGTCCCGGGTCTCGGGCCATTCCCCGGCGCCCGCCTCGGTGGCCCCAACCTGCTCCGACGCCTCTCTGTTCGATGTGGCCCGCCCCCCGCCTCGTACTAACCTAAAGCCGGGCATCCTCCCGCGTCCGGGCCCCGGGCGCGAGCGTGCGTTTGTCCGCTCCCATGTGTTTGGGCGAGGGGCGCGCTTGCGCGGTCGGTCCGTCTGCCCCGTCTCCGGGCGTTGATTGGTTGCCCCCACCGGGGTGGGAGTGTCCGCCGGGAGGAAGGTGCGACCGACCCTCTCTCATGTCTGCCTGGGCTTTTTCCCGCTCGCCGCCATTTGCCCGTCTCGTTGGCCCACCGGCGGGTTACACTGCCGGGAGTGGGGTGCAGGGGCTGTGGGCCAATTTTCCGGAGTCTTCTCGACCGTGCCTGCCCCGAGGGACCCCAGCCGCGGTCGCCATCCTCGAAGAGGGAGCCCGGAGCCTGGTGGCGACATGCTGGGTGTGTTCCCGCTGGCTCTCCCTGGTCGCCCCCCCCCCGCCCCGCCCTCCGGCCGCGGGGCTTGTCTAGCTCCCTGCCTTTGGTTGGGCGCGGTCGGCGTGGGCCGCTTGCGCAACGGCCTCTCAGCTTCCGTGCCGCGGGTGGGTGAGTCTGCCGGGTGGCCCTCGGGCGCCCGCTAGTCCGGAACCATGCGACCCAAGGTGCTGTGGTGCCTTATGGATGGTGTTGCGCCAGAGCATCCTGGTCCCTCGCTCGGTCGAGCCCCCCCCCCCCCCCCTCGACCCGCCGACGCATGCTTGGGCCAATGTTCCCGGTTTTCTGCCAGGTCTACAGGGGCGGGGGCGGGGCGAGGAGGGGACGGAGCCGTTGCATCACCGTTGTGCAGGCACGGCCCCCCGTTTCCCTTTCCCACCCCGAGGGTTCCGCCGCGCTTGCCCCCCCCCCCGGGGTGTGTGTGTCTGTGTGTGTGTGTGTGCGGGGCTGGGCGCCTGCATGCCGGGGAGAATATGACACCCCAGCGTGGAGGCGTCGAGGGGCCGGCGCCTGGGCGCGGGGAGGGGCGGCGGTAAACTGGTCTTCGGGCCAGGCTGCTGCACGCGTGTGCGTCTGTAGCGAGTGCCAGGGCACTGGCGGGGCATTTGCCTGTCTGCCGGCGTGGGCGCCCGGGCGCCGTGCGACCACATGGCACGGGGACCCTAGGGCCTTTTGAGGTTTCCGCCGGCCACCGGCGCCTTCCCTGGCACGGTCGGAGAGCCGGCCAGCCGTCGGCGGTCGTGCTTGCAGGCTGCCGGGTGCATGTCCGCTGCTTTCGCCGGGCGCCCGTAACCCCCCTCTTTTGGCCGGGGGGCCGGGGGGCGGGGCAAAGGGGCACATTAGGTCCTGGTGGCCCGGAGCGCCGGGTGTGTCCCTCCCCCTCGCCCCTCACCCCGACGGAGAAACCTCAACCTCTACGACGGCCCTCCTCGCGGCCGCATGCGCATGGGAGGGGGGGGGGGGGCAGACCTGCCGACACACCGGGTCCTGTGCGGACGGGTCCCTGCGCGGGGCGAGGCCGAGGGCGGGCCTCGGCTCTCGGGGCCGAGAACTATGTACCCCTGCGTCTCGGCAACCCTGCCTCGGTCTGTGCCTCTGTCGCTTTGTCGGTCCCGCGTTGTCGCTTCTTTGCGCATTGTCCGGGCGCTGGTGGCCTTACGCAAGAAGGCCGGCCCTTGGCGTTGGGCCCCCGCCTCGTGGGTTGTCCCTGTTTTCGGCGTTTCGACGACGCTGGGCGAACATGGCCGAAAGCTCGAGCGGCCGAAGGGTCCCCCCCCGGCTGGGGGGCTGTTGCTGGTCAGGGAGCCGGGGGGGGGGGATGCGACCCCGGTGCTCGGACGCCCGACGGCGACGTGCCCTGCCCGCCTGTTGTCGTCCTCGCCGGAGGGGGGGGGGGGCGGGGGACTGGGGCGTTTGTCTTGCGGCGCGTGCCTTCCGCGGCCGGAGCGGGGGGCATCATGTGGCGTGTCAAGGTGGGTCGGGCAGCACGGCTTGCGTGTGTAGGGTCCATATGGTGAGTGTGTCGGCGCGTGCCTCGGTCGCGGGGGGGGGGGCCGCTGCGGAGACAGGCATACATGTGTGTACATGTGTGTGTGTGTGGGAGGGGGTGCCTGGGGCTGATGCCCCCGGGCCACGGGCATGTGTCGGCCGGGTGGCCCCGCGGCCGGGGGAGAGAGTGTGCGCGGGTCTCCGGTGTCTGGGTATATAAAGAGGTGCCCCCCCGGTCCCCTTGATGAAGGATCTGCCCCAGCAGTTGAAGGTCCTCGTTTTTGCAGAAACTCTCCAACTTCTTGACTAATCGCCACCATGGGTAAGGAGAAGCTCCACGTTAACATCGTCGTTGTCGGTCACGTCGACTCCGGCAAGTCCACCACCACCGGTCACCTCATCTACAAGCTCGGTGGTATCGACCAGCGCACCATCGAGAAGGTCCGTGCCCTCCCCCCTCCCTCTCTCTTTCTTTCGCGCTCTCCCCGCCTCCCCCCCCCCCCCCGAATGTCCCCCCCCCCCAAATCTATTCCCCCTTCCTCCTCTCCTCCCTCCCCCACGATGAACGGATGGCTGACTCGCTTTCTCCCTTTCTCTCCCCCTCCCCCACAGTTCGAGAAGGACGCCAACGATATCGGTAAGGGTTCCTTCAAGTACGCTTGGGTCCTCGACAAGCTCAAGTCCGAGCGCGAGCGTGGTATCACCATCGATATCGCCCTCTGGAAGTTCGAGACCTCCAAGTACTACGTCACTGTCATTGATGCCCCGGGTCACCGTGATTTCATCAAGAACATGATTACCGGTACCTCCCAGGCCGATTGCGCCATCCTCATCATTCCCGCCGGTACTGGTGAGTTCGAGGCTGCCGTCTCCAAGGACGGTCAGGCCCGCGAGCACGCTCTCCTCTGCTACACCCTCGGTGTCCGTCAGATGATCGTCGCCGTCAACAAGATGGACTCTTGCCAGTACTCCGAGGCCCGCTTCACTGAGATCAAGGAGGACGTCGCCAACTTCATCAAGCGTGTCGGCTACAAGCCCGAGTCTGTTGCCTTCATCCCCATCACTGGTTTCCATGGTGACAACATGATCGAGCCCACCACCAACATGTCCTGGTGGAAGGGCTTCGAGATCACTCGTGGCTCCGCCAAGCTGACTGGTCTCACCCTCCTCGATGCCCTCAACCACATCGAGCCCCCCTCTCGCCCCACCGACAAGCCCCTGCGCCTGCCCCTTCAGGATGTCTACCGCATTGGTGGTATCGGTACCGTCCCCGTTGGCCGTGTTGAGACTGGTGTCCTCAAGCCCAACATGACCGTCACCTTCGCCCCCTCCGGTGTGACCACTGAGGTCAAGTCCGTCGAGATGCACCACGAGCAGCTCCCCGAGGCCATCCCCGGTGACAACGTCGGCTTCAACGTCAAGAACGTCTCCGTCAAGGACATCAAGCGTGGCTACGTCTGCTCTGATGCCAAGAACAAGCCCGCCCTCGAGACCAACACCTTCCGCGCTCAGGTCATCGTCATGAACCACCCCGGCCAGATCACCCAGGGCTACACCCCTGTTGTTGACTGCCACACCGCTCACATTGCCTGCAAGTTCGAGGTCCTCGAGCAGCTGCTCGACCGCCGCTCGGGTAAGGCCCTTGAGGAGAACCCCAAGTTCATCAAGTCCGGCCAGGCTGCCATCGTCAAGATGAAGCCCTCCAAGCCCATGTGCGTTGAGTCCTTCACCGAGTTCCCCCCCCTCGGCCGCTTCGCCGTCCGTGATATGCGCCAGACCGTTGCCGTCGGTGTCATCAAGGACGTCGAGTTCAAGGAGGCTGCTGCTCCCCGTGGTGCCGGCCGCAAGAAGTAAGCGACCAATGTCGTGCTCTCTGCTCCTTTCGATTCCCGGGCCCTTCTCCTCCTCGCCCCTCGCGGGTGTTGGTCAGGGGGGGTCCCCCAGGGGTCGGTCGGGGGGAGAGTGCCCACACTGGTGGCCCACTTCTGTGGCATGAATCTTGCCGCGCTGTGTGAAGCCCTCTGTGAGCCTTCCCTTGTGTCTGTGTTTGTCGCTCGCTGCCCTTTCTCCCCCGGGGTTGCGCGCCCAGCACATGTGTGCCCGGAAGTGAGAGAAAGCCCCGCCCCCCACTCGCTGGACCGGGAACTTCTCTCTCTCTCTCTCTTGTTTTGGTGTCCGCGCCAGGAAGAGAGTGACACCCCCCGCGCATGTGGCTCCCCTCTGAGTCCGGCCCTGTGTGTGTGTCTTTCTGCACATATGTGCGCGCGCGGCCCCCTGGGCTTCGTGCTTCGAAGAATATACAAGCTCCCAAAATATCCCGCCTTCTCTTGTGTCTCTTCTCTTCTCGGCCTTTCTTTCTTTTTCCATGGGGTGTGAAGTGCGCCGGGGGGCTCGGGGCTCGGGGCCGGCTGCTGCGCGCGCTTGCTTCTTCCCTCTTTCGGTCGGTCCCTTTTTGTGGGGGTGCTCGCGTGCTGACACAGTCCAAAGTGTGGGGGCGCACTGTGTGCGGTGCGGTTACTTCACGGAACCCCGCGTTATTCGCTTTCTCGCCCGCGTTGTGGTGTGCTCCGGGGGCAGGGGTGCAGGGGGGGGGGGGACCACGTCCCATGATGTGTCTGCATCTGTGTGCCGCCCGTGTCTTGCTCTCCCTGCCTGGGCCCGGTCGTGTTGTGTTGTTCTCCGGTTGTCCGCCTCTCCCCCTCTCTTCCTGTCTCTGGCATCGGTTCGTCCTCCATTCGTCGTGCGGGCTTGGCGGCGGCCTTTCGCCAGCCGGCTCGGGAGGGGGAGTATCTTCGGGTCGCTTGCGCATGGGGCTTGCATTGCGTGTCCCAGGCGCGTCCTCGCCCTCCGGCGGTCGCCGGCCTTTGCCATGTGGTCCCCGGTGATCTGATCCTTCATGCGTGCAGCCCGTCCCCCATCACCTCCTTCGCCCTCTCCCCGCGTTGTGGCCCCTTGCTCGCGCCTGGTCGTCTCCCCAGCCTCTCCCACAGGCGGGAGCTTCCCCCCCCCCCCTGTACCGGTCAGTCATGACGCTCGATCGGCTGGAGGGAGGGGCAGGCGGCTCTCTCACCGAATGATAAGCCAAGGGGCCGGGTCTCGTTTCGTGCAAATACACAGCCAGCCCCGCTCTGGATGTTCCCGGGTGTAGAGTGCCTTTTTGTCCCCCCCCCCCCCCCCTTCTCGCCACCCGCCATCTCGCTGCTCCTCTCTGCTGACCCCCCCGCGGTGTTCTGACCGTTCTGCCACATACACTTCCCGGCTCTCCTGCCATCACATCCCATTGCTCGGGCTTGCCAGTGCCATCTCACCGGTGCGCTCGCCGCTTTGCATCTGCGCGGGTGGCGTTTCACCGAGAGGGGGCATGCCGAGCGGCCCGCTCCTGCCCACTCCTCCTCCCCTGTGGCCCCCACAGACGCGCCTCGGCGGAGCACCACTTCTATTTTCCGGCACATGATGGTTCCCATGCACCTGAGCGTGTGCATTCACAAGAGAGATGGGGTGCCATCCCCCCTCAGTGGTGCAGGCAGGGCTCCTACTCCTGGGCAGACCGCTTGGGATCTGCCAGGGTCAGAATGTTGACCGAAACCTCGGGATTGCTGGTGCTGAGCAGGGTGAGAGGGGGAAAGGGGGGGGGGGGGAGAGCAGAAAGGTGGGGAAGAAGGCGGCCGGAGAAGGTGCATATCCGGGCCATGGCGTGCGCCGCCATCCCCGCCGAAGCATCAGGTCAGTACTCCTGCCCGCCCTGGTGGCGATGTGTGCCCCCCCGACTGGGGGAAGAAAATGGCTGGAGGAGGGAAAACAAGCCCCCAAGGAGAAACGCACTCAACACCCACATCCAGCGGGCTGATGACGAACACCTGCTTCTTGATCTCGGCCGTTCCATCCACCAGGGCACGACGACTGCGCCGGCGGTTGGACTCATCCATGCCGACGTCAAACTCGTCCAGGCAGCGTAGCGGCCCGGAAATCGACCCCCACAGTGCCAGCAGCAGGCACAGGGTGGCCAATGACCGCTCGCCGCCCGAAAGCTGTGTCGTCTTTTTGTGCGCCACTGTCTGGCTGCCCGGGGGCAGGGGGCCTCCGGCAGCCGTGGCTCCCTCGGCCGGCAGGAGCTCGATGTCCAACTGCCGGTCCTCGTGGTTGAAGTTCAGGTGCCCGGGCAGGGAAAAGCACTTTCGCAGGATGTCCTTGAACTTGCCGCGCATGACAATCGAGAATTGCTCCTTAAACAGCTCGGCCCGATCGGTCTGCAGCTGGATGATCTCGGCGAGCATCTGCATATGATGGGGACAACCCGGGTGGGGTGGGGTGGGGGGGGGGGGGGAACCACGGTCAGTACCTCACTTGTTGAGATGCGCATACATGTGGGCATCTCTCTCGCCCCCCTCCGTCGTTGACGGCCATGTCGGCGCACCGGGTACAGCCGCTCAAGGCGCTCAATCTGAAACTCGCCCGACTGGTGAGACTCGCTCATCAGGGCGATTTCTTGACGCAAGCGCTCCGCATCCTCCGCATTGGCCGTGCTTCGTCCAAGACCGCGGGGGAGGGCGGCGGGAGGGGGGGGGGGGGACAAACGCGCAGGGGTGGAGGTAAGTGACACACACACACAGAAGCACAGGAAATACATGCTCACAGACACGCGTGTGCTGGGCGTGGGCGCCAATCAGAGAGGGAGAGAGAGAAGAAAAAAGAAGAGAGGACAGAGGCTCTGGCCATGAGAAGGACACAAGCCCGTGCTTACCATCGGAGTTCCTCGATTTCATGCTCCAGGTTCTCCACATCCTGCTGGTAGGATTGCTGCGACCGGCTCAGCAGCAGGCGCTCCTCGGCCTGCTGATCGATCGCCGATTGGCCGCCCTGGCCGTCGCCGTGTTGGCTGCCGGAGTCCGAGTGTGGCATTTCCCGGAAGAGGTCCGCGATCGCCTGGCCCAGGGTGCCAAGCTCCTGCTGCAAGTCGCCCAGCTGCTGGGTGAGGGTTTGCCTGTCATGCTCTTCGCGCTCAATCTGCTCGGCCAATTGGGTCCGGGCCGCAGCCAACTCGAGCTCCTTGGCACGAAGTACGCGCTACATCCATGGGCCAGACAGTTAGACATCGGGCCAGCTGAGCAGGTGCCACAGGACAAGCCCAACTAAGGGGGGCACAAAATGAGGGAGACAAAGACAGGAGGGGAAAGAAGCGAAGCCCAGGCACCTGGTTCTCCTGCTGCTGCTCCTGCAGCCGGTGAGCTTGCTCATCGATATCGCGCAGCTTGGCCCGAGCCTGAGCAAGGGCCGCCTCGTGGCGCCCCGTGTCCTCGACCAAGAGGCGAAGCCGCGCTTCCTGTCGCTCAACCGCGTCGCGCGCCGCTTCCAGGTCTTGCTGCTGCTGTGTGGCCTGACTGGCCACATCGGCCGGCGACAGCTGGCTGGCCGCCTGAAGGCGCTGACGCAGGTGCGTTTCCTCGCGCAGTAGGCGCTCCTTCCGCAGATAGTGCTCATTGAGTTCGGCATGTGTCGAGCGCAGGGTCCGCTCAGCCTCGTCTACCTGGGCGCGCAGCGACTCGAAGGTACTCTGTTCCGTGCGAATGTGCTCCTGCTCTTGGGCCAAGGCCCGGCTATTGGTCCTGAGTGGGGAGGGAAGACGCCGGGCGGTTAGCCGACATGCGGTCATGTGAATGGCCGTGAAATGCTACCTTCGCCAATGGGCCTCCGAGGGAAGGGAAAGGCCACCTGCAGAAGTCCCCCCCCCCCCCCCCCCCCCCCCCCCCCCCCCCCCCCCCCCCCCCCCCCCCCCCCCCCCCCCCCCCCCCCCCCGCCCCCCTCAGACACACGAAAACAGGCACCGTAGGCCGGCGAGAGGATCAGGGGCCCGAGGACGCACTCGATTTGCTCCGCCGCATCGGCGGCCGCATTGGGCCCCTGCGAGGCCGGATCATCGGAGGGCAGGAAATTCTGGAAGCGAATACGCTCAGCATGCTGGAAGAGCACACCTCCGGAACGCGTGGCATCATAGCGCTCGCCCTGCATGGTGAACCCGGCCAAGCCATGCTGGCGCCCATGCGCCTCGATGTATGCCTTGCACTGGTCCCCATCGGCGATGAAGACACACCGGTCCAGCTTGGCAATGTCCACCAGATAGTTGAACACCGCATTGTGGGTGACCTCAATGAAGTCCAGCGGCGAGGGGAAGTCCGCCAGCGGCGAGGCCACCGGATACCGGCGATCGGTCGGCCCGCCAAAGTACACCGCCTGGCCGCGGTATTGCCTTTCGGCAATCAGCCGACTGAGCTCCGGCAGGCGCTGCGGATTGGTGGTGATGATGTGCGTCATCTGCCGGCCGATGAGCCGGTCCAACGCCGGATACCAGCGCCGGTCTTTGATGCGTACATACAGCCCAATCGGCCCGAGGGTGTCCTCCGGCAGGCGCAGCGTACGGAACATCGGGTGATAGAAGGCCCCCTTCTCGGCAAGGCTCAATTGGCCGCCCTGTGACGCGGCGCTTGCCTGCGAGGCGACCATCCGTTGCAGCTGCTCCACCACCCGGGTCAATGTCTCGACCATGGACCGATGGCGGGCCATCTTGTCCGAGGACACCTGGAAGTCTGCCGTCAGATCGTTCTTCCGCGTGGACAGCTCCTTGTAGTGGGTGTCCACCTTCAGCATGGGGCGGAGCAGGCAGCATGTCCGAGGGCATCGGCGAGCCGAAGGGCAGGGAGGGGGGCCGTATTTTCCCTGGTCAGCAAGGGGGAACACATCCACAGACAGATGCGTGTCCTCATGGATGCCAGCGCTCGGGCGGGGCGGAGGAGATGCGTACCTCATTGAATTGGGCTTGGGCCAGCTGCAGGCGTTCTGTGCAGCTTTCCAGTTCCTGGCGAAGCTGCTCCACATCGGCCTGGCTGCTGGATGTGTGCAGATCGGTCGCACGTTGGAGATGGCCCAGGCGCCGGGCCTGCTCGTCAAGTTCGCCGCGAGCCCGTGTCAGAGATGACTGGGCGCTGGACAGGGTCGATTCGGCGCTGGCAATCTCGTCGCGCGCCAGGATCTTCTCCGTACGCAGCCGCTCCAGGCGCTGGGCAACGCCGCCGCCGCCGCCGCCGTCGCCGCCGTCGCCGCCGCCGCCGGCGTCGGTCTCCGACCGGAGGGCCTCAGTGTCCCGGAGGAGGGCCTCAATTCGAGAGGTGAGCTCATCGCGCAGGGACGACCCCTGTACCCTATCCAGGAAGTACCTCAGCTCCATTTCCCGCTGGCTGAGGATCTTCAAACAGCGAGGCCATGTCAAAAAGAGGAATGCACAACAGGGCCAAAGGGGGGCGGCCAGCCCGTCAGGAGGGGAGGCAACTAATGCATGCGTCTGTCTGTGTGCATTTGGGCACGCAAGGCCGACGTACATTCCGCCGTTGCAGCTTGCCGACAATCTGCACCTGGTACCGGGCCATTTCCAACTGGTGACGTAGCTCGCCGATGCGCTCGAGCGCTTGGAAAACCCGGCGCTTCTCATCGAGATGACGCTTGAACGATCCAGCCCGGTCCTTGGCGTTGACGATGTTTTGGGACAGTTTCTCGGCATTCTGTCGGGATTCCGCGATCAGACGCTTGGTCTGATCAAGCATGGCTCCGGACATGACCATCTACAGGGGGGGGAGGAGGGAGGGGGACGCAGAAAGCCGGTCAGAGACAGGCGGGCACCCTCGAGGCAAATGGAATCCCCCCTGGTCCGAGCACAAGCGCACCGAGTACTTCTCGCTGGCAGAAGAGGACACGAGAAAGCGCTTGGCCTCGTCCTGATTCAGGACGGCCATGCGATTGGACGTCTGATAATTGAAGAAGTCCACAATCCGATGAATGGCCTCGGTCTTGACATTCGTCACTGCCCGAACCCCGGGGAAAGGAGTGTCAGCCAAGGGGCTGGCATGGCGGGGCATGGGCAGGCCGATGTTACGGGATCCGCATGGGCGCGCATGCACGTACGGGAAAAGTACTGCAGAGCACCGGGACCCTGTCGGGTCTGCCGGTAGAGCTTGTATTGGCTGGTGGCGCCGGTCTTGCCCGAGGCTGCTCGGCGAAGGATTCGCTGGATGACAATGATCGGCCCATGGACATCAGGCTCGAAGGCCAGCGGGCCGATGTTGTGGATGGCCACCATGAGATTGGCCGACCTGGGGCGATGGTCAGGACAGTGAGCCAGGGGAGGGGGGGGGGAGGGGGAACGGGGGGCATATGTCGGAGTGCAGTGGCATGTGTATGGCGAGAGAAGGGTGGCGACGGGGCGGGTGGTTGGAGGGAGGCAGCGCACTCGAAGCCATTCTTGATGAGACCCTGGAGGGAGTCCGCGCGGCCGGTCACGGTGGCGCGTTCACCGAGAACCGTGATGATGGCCGACAGAATGGAGCTCTTTCCACCTGAAGTGGATGGGCCGAAAGGAGTGCCGAAAAAGGGAAGAGTGAGGAGGATGCGGCCAAATAGGGGGGGGGGGGAGGAGGGCGAGAGGGGAGGAAAGGCACGCACTGCCGTTGCGCCCGGTGATGAAGTTGAGAGATGGTCCAAAGTTGGCGTGGATGAGGTCGTGCCCAAGGAAGCTCTCAATACGCATGGCCATGACCATGCCTGGCTTCCATTTGGCCTGAGGCGGAAGGGTGCCTGTTAGTGTGCGATGTCGGCATTGGTGCCCCTGTGCGGCATTCAAGCATGAGCCGGATGCATGCCGAGTTTTGGGGCGCTTGGGCGGGAGAGGGGAGGGCCAGACGCACTCGCTCCTGCTGTGGGGAAGCCTGAAGCTTCTCGGTCTGTCCCAAGAGGGCGGGGGGGCGGAGGGGAGTAGCAGTTGTCAGAGAGAGAGAGATTCGCTTGCTTCGGAACAAGTAGGAGCACGGGAAAAAAAAAAGGTCACCCGAGTTGTCGGGATACGGACCACATCTTTGAGGAAGTCATCGACGATCTGGTCGCGAGACCGCTGAGGCGAGAAAAACCCATGGTAAGTGGCCTGGTAGGATGTCAAAGGCAAGCAAGTGGCCTGGGAGCCCCCTGTGTGCGCGGAACACACATCCGGGAGGGCATACCTTTGGAAGGGGGGGTCGGAGAGACATGCGTGGCAGGGCGGGGAGGAGATGATCTCACACCACACACACACGCACGCACACACACGCACACACACACACACACACACACACACACACACTTGCACAGGGACGTGAGGTCCACGACTCAAGGGGGTGGTGTCCGGCCGAAGGGGAAACCCAGGGGAGGCACAGACGCGGGAGGAGTATGGCCACGCGATGCAAGGAACAAAAAATAGAGGCTAATGAGGCAATAGGCGGATATCGTGCGCGAAAGACGAGGGCAGGTGCTGGTCACCCCTTTCAGGCGGGAGGGGGAGATCCCCCCCTCCCCAAGCAGAACGGTCGCCCTTGGCCTGGCCGCACCACACCAGGTGGGCACCATGCCGGGAAAGCAACGGCTCGGCGGCACACGGGCCCCTCCCCCCGAACCGGGACAATGCGCCGGCAGCGATCGTGTTTTCTTCCCGGACCCGGAGCCGTGGGCAGGAGCACCTGCCAATGAATGGTCTCCCTCCAGGCCGTCGACATCTCCTCACCGACGGCACCCATTGGGGCTGGCTTCCCGAGACTGGCCGACGCCGATTCCACTTGGGGGGGGGGGGGGGGAGGGGCTTGCGTGCCAGCAAGCCTGCCAGGTTGGCAGGGGGTCCTATTGCTGGCAAAAAGGCCCCCCCCGCCCGCCAGGGCGTGCATCAGGCTGGCATTGGTGTGCGGCTCCGGACTCCGAGTAGTCTGGCCCAGAGGCCTGGGCCGCACAATCGGCCGGACGGACGCGCATCCCTCGGCCACTCTTCGCTAGCCGCCCCAGTCCGGCTGGCGGCCTGCCGCATTTCACCAACTCGGCCCCTTTGCCTACGTCAGGCTCTTCCTTTCCCTGCCCCCTCCTGCCCCCTCCTGCCCCCTCGATCCCCCCTCCTGCCCCGTCGGTCCTCCCCCCGGCCTGGCCTGTCGGTCTCTTGCTCCTCGGTCGCCTGTGCGATGCGCCGGCCATCCTTCTGCCGAGCCTCGCTGCCCGGCCTGGCCCTCGTCGGCTGGCTTGTGCTGGTGCTTGTGGGCCTTGTGACGGCCGATGCCCCCTCGGGCGTGGACTTCCGCGCGGCCGCCTCGTCATCCACCTTTCGCGAGCAGCTCGTCATCTCCCCCACGGCCGATGGTCTGCATACCTTCCTCCGGGCGGAGTTCCTGATCTCCTCGCCAGCCGACCTGGCCCATGCCGACGCGCCGAATCCGCGCCAGCACTACCGCAGCGATGTCTACCCCGCGGCTGTGCGGCAAATTTTCCACCTCAATCCCCACTTGGAAGCTGCGGCGCTCACTTTTTCACAGGGGCAATTCATGCTGTCAGAATGGGGCGCCCTCGATCTCGGCCATGGTGCCGCCGGGCAGGCTGCCCAGCGGGCCGCCTCTCCCGCGCGCCGGCTTCTCCTCCAGTCCCAGGAGCTGGTCCCCACGGGCTCGCGCCTGGTTGGTCTCTTCCGGCCTTCGGCCACAAGCACCCCCGCCGACATCGGCACTGCCAGCATGGATGCTCACCTGGATGCCAGCTGGTCTGGCCTGACCAACATCCTGGGCGGGCTTTTTTGCGTGTCCTCACACGACATGACCTCCGAGCGGGTGGTGGACTCGGTGTTCGAGGCCGGTGAATCCCCCGGCCCGACCGCCTGGCTGTTGTCCCGGTCGAGCATGCTCCCGCGCGAGTCCTCCTGCACGGAGAACCTCTCGGCCCTGCGCCGGTGGGTTTTGCCATGTGCCGTGTCCGGGGAGATGCCCCTCGGGCCTGGTGCCGCCGGGCTGGGCGACCGTGGGGTTGCCTCCGGCGGGGGCCTCGCCGGCATTCTCCTCTCCAGCCCCCATGGTATTTTCTCGGCCCCCTGGCACTCGCTGTCGCTCTTCCTCAGCCGAACTGAGGGCATTCGCGTGGCCGTGGACCTGGTGGTTCCGAATTCCCGGTATGTTGGCGCCCCCTTCAAGCGGCCTTGCGCCTGCCCCCTCCCTCGCTCGCCCCCTCCCTTCCCATCTGCACCCCCCCTTCCTCGTGCTCCTCTGACTGTGGCTCGCTATTCATTGCCGGCGCAATCCGCCGGGTCTCCCCGACGGCCTATGGTGGCTCCCCAGTGCTCGGACCATCAAGCAGGCCTGGGGCATCGGCATGCAAGTGGCCAATGTCCCCCCGGTGGCCGTATCCCATGTCAGCCTCTGCCCGGTGGCCAGCAGCTCGCGTGTCTTGATCTTCCCCGGCCTCGCCACCACGAAGGTGGCCGCCACGGCCACAGCCGCCATGGCGGTGCCCGGCCCGACACTCCGGGAGATCACCACCGCCGAAGACCTGGCCGCCATGCTGGACGCTCGCCTGGGGCCGGCCGAGGAAGACACCTCGGTCGAGGCCGTTCCCCTGCATGGCGACGCGGCCGGGCGCCTGCCGATCTTGGTGGAGAGGTCCCTCACATCGGACCTCAGTGACCAGGGGTCGGGCTTGCTGGTGACCCGGATTCTCTTCCGCCTTCCGGCCAGCGATGGGCCTGACGCGCCCAGCATCTGCCATGTTCGTCTGGATGATGTGCTCCCCTGGTTTTTGGTTCCCTTCCTCCACACGCTGCGACACTCCATGGTGTCCACCGGCACCAGCGGCAGTGCCTCCGGCGCTGGCGATGCTGCTTTGGCATCCTCTCGGCCGGACTTTCGCCTGGAAGGGTTGGCCTTCGCGCCGGCCGTGCCCGAGCACTCGCCGGCCCAGCTGCGCATCGACTTCACGCTGGCCGCCGGCGCGGGGCCTGGCCCCCACGAGGGCGAGGTGCTCTTTGAGATGCGCGTGCGCAAGCGCTTCATCCACATTGACCTGCACCCGCCCGATGCCAACCGCGGCTTTGAGATCTTCCCGAGCGAGGTGCAGGTGGAGTGTCAGCTTCCGGCCGGTCACGACGCGCGGCTCATCCCCACCGGCCTGGCCTGGCCGGCAGACGGGGCCGCGTCTCCTGCCATGGCCTCTTCCACGCCCTCCGGATCGGTGGCCCTGCGGTACCGGGCCTTCACCCGGCCGCTGCTGGTGTACCTCCCTCTGCCGGACTTCAGCATGCCCTTCAATGTGATCGCCGGGACATCCACCGTGATTGCCCTCTTCTTCGGCTACATGTTCAATCACCTGGTCCGAGCGGTGGTGGTGAAGCCTGCTCGCTCGGCTGGCTTGAAGGCTCGGTTGGGGGGGCTCCTCCGTCGCCGCCCAGCGCCGCCGGCCGCCTCTTAGCCCCCCCCCCCCTCCCCCCCAATGCGGCGACACCCCACCGCCCAAAATACACAGCCGGTTTCCTGTCATCTTGCCCTTGTCCTTTTGTGGTTCCCCTCTGTCCGTTCCCCCTCGAGGGGGCGGGGGGGGCAGGGGGGGGCGGGAGCGGCGACACAGACGAGACCGTTGAGAAAGGGCACTCCTTCCGGCGCAGCCCACAAGCCCACAAAATCGCGGAGCTTCCCCCTCGATGGCAACTGCCAATGGTCATGGGCATCTAGTCGAATCGTGTCCATCGCCCCGCCGCGGAGCCCAGAGGGAGAGGAGTCCTACCGGCGGGGGGCCCCGCGACAAGAGACCGGTGCGGAAGATTGGCTTCGGGTGTGGTTTTTCTCTGCCTGTGCGCCGAGCCCTCGCCTCGCAGTTGTCCCGCGGCCCGGTGCCGGCGCAGCCGTCGCGGGGCGCCGAGGAGCGCATGGGGGGGGGGGGGGGACATGCTGGCTGCCAGGGGCTGGCATACAGGTGAATCCTTTTTGCCGGAGCTCTCCACACTTTTAGCGTCCATTCCCGGCATGCAGTTCCCTCCTCTCCCTCGCCCCTCGCCCCTCGCCCCTCGCCCCTCCCTCGACGCACCACTGCATGCAGACGACGCTTTGTTTGTGCCTTCGCTGGCGGTGATATCCCTCCCCCGCCCCTTGGTCGGCTCCGTCCCGCGCATCGCCACCTGCTCTTCTCCCATTAAGCCAGAGCCGCCACTCCGTGCGCGTCTGCTCGTCGCGCCGGGCCCCGTAGAATCCACCCTCAGCGGCCATGAGCAACCTCGTATACCCGGTTCATGATGAGGTTCGTTTTCCTTCCGGCCCCGGTCTCGCTCCGTCGGCCTCCGCCTCGCTGGCCCTCGCCGCCTTCAACCTTCTTGCATCCCCTTCGCCCTGGCCCAGCTTGTGACCTCTAATCCCCCCCTCCCCGCCCTGTCTCTTGTCCTCTGCCAATCCATCCGTCTACGGCCGGAATGTCCAGCTTTCGCCGCCGACCGCGGTGGAAAGCTCCATCATCTGCAATCTCCTGTCTCCGGACGAGTCGTGCCTGGTTGTCTTGCGCAGTTCTCTGCTCCAGGTGTTCCGTGTTTTGGATCGGGTGCGTACTTCCCCGGCCAGGAGCTCGCACACCCGCGCCACCGCCCCGGCTCCTGCCGTGCGCCCTTCATGCGTCC